TTTTTATGGAAGATTCTGGGATTTTTACCCAATTTTTTTTTGTGGGGAGGGGTCTCCCCTCAGGGATTTTCTTTGTGGGGAGGGGTCTCCCCTCAGGCTTTTGTTGGGTGGGTGGGCGAGGTCGAGACCCCTCCCCAAATACTTTTTTGGGGGCAAAAATGGGGGATTTTTGGGTTTTTTATGAAAGATTCTGGGATTTTTACCCAGATTTTTTTTGTGGGGAGGGGTCTCCCCTCAGGGTGGGGTTTTTTTTTGGGGAGGGGGCCGGCGTTATTTGACCAGGGGTCTCGTCTTGTCGTCGTCGCTGCACTGGTGAGCTTTGTACTTCTGCACCTCCGCCAGGTACTTGGCCCAGGCGTCGCCTTTACTCGTCAGCACCTGCCCCAAAAACACCCCAAAAAACCCCAAAAATGGGGGAGGGGGCACCCGGAAAGCCCCTCCCCTCCCCCACACCCCGATATGGAAATGGGACCCCCCCCTGCACCCCCAAAATTTTTCCTTGGTTTTTGTGGTGCTTCTTTTGATCCCGAATTTCCCGTCCGGGACCCCCAAATTTGTCCTTTTAATCCCAAGTTTGTCCTTCTGATCCCAAATTTCTCCTCCTGATCCTCTATTTCCCATCCAGGACCCCCCAATTCACCTTCCGAGACCCCCAAATCCCCCTACGGGACCCAAAAATCCCCTCCAGGACCCCCCAATTCACCTTCCGAGACCCCCAAATCCCCCTACGGGACCCAAAAATCCCCTCCAGGACCCCCCAATTCACCTTCCGAGACCCCCAAATCCCCCTACGGGACCCAAAAATCCCCTCCAGGACCCCCCAATTCACCTTCCGAGACCCCCAAATCCCCCTACGGGACCCAAAAATCCCCTCCAGGACCCCCCAATTCACCTTCCGAGACCCCCAAATCCCCCTACGGGACCCAAAAATCCCCTCCAGGACCCCCCAATTCACCTTCCGAGACCCCCAAATCCCCCTACGGGACCCAAAAATCCCCTCCAGGACCCCCCAATTCACCTTCCGAGACCCCCAAATCCCCCTACGGGACCCAAAAATCCCCTCCAGGACCCCCCAATTCACCTTCCGAGACCCCCAAATCCCCCTACGGGACCCAAAAATCCCCTCCAGGACCCCCCAATTCACCTTCCGAGACCCCCAAATCCCCCTACGGGACCCAAAAATCCCCTCCAGGACCCCCCAATTCACCTTCCGAGACCCCCAAATCCCCCTACGGGACCCAAAAATCCCCTCCAGGACCCCCCAATTCACCTTCCGAGACCCCCAAATCCCCCTACGGGACCCAAAAATCCCCTCCAGGACCCCCCAATTCACCTTCCGAGACCCCCAAATCCCCCTACGGGACCCAAAAATCCCCTCCAGGACCCCCCAATTCACCTTCCGAGACCCCCAAATCCCCCTACGGGACCCAAAAATCCCCTCCAGGACCCCCCAATTCACCTTCCGAGACCCCCAAATCCCCCTACGGGACCCAAAAATCCCCTCCAGGACCCCCCAATTCACCTTCCGAGACCCCCAAATCCCCCTACGGGACCCAAAAATCCCCTCCAGGACCCCCCAATTCACCTTCCGAGACCCCCAAATCCCCCTACGGGACCCAAAAATCCCCTCCAGGACCCCCCAATTCACCTTCCGAGACCCCCAAATCCCCCTACGGGACCCAAAAATCCCCTCCAGGACCCCCCAATTCACCTTCCGAGACCCCCAAATCCCCCTACGGGACCCAAAAATCCCCTCCAGGACCCCCCAATTCACCTTCCGAGACCCCCAAATCCCCCTACGGGACCCAAAAATCCCCTCCAGGACCCCCCAATTCACCTTCCGAGACCCCCAAATCCCCCTACGGGACCCAAAAATCCCCTCCAGGACCCCCCAATTCACCTTCCGAGACCCCCAAATCCCCCTACGGGACCCAAAAATCCCCTCCAGGACCCCCCAATTCACCTTCCGAGACCCCCAAATCCCCCTACGGGACCCAAAAATCCCCTCCAGGACCCCCCAATTCACCTTCCGAGACCCCCAAATCCCCCTACGGGACCCAAAAATCCCCTCCAGGACCCCCCAATTCACCTTCCGAGACCCCCAAATCCCCCTACGGGACCCAAAAATCCCCTCCAGGACCCCCCAATTCACCTTCCGAGACCCCCAAATCCCCCTACGGGACCCAAAAATCCCCTCCAGGACCCCCCAATTCACCTTCCGAGACCCCCAAATCCCCCTACGGGACCCAAAAATCCCCTCCAGGACCCCCCAATTCACCTTCCGAGACCCCCAAATCCCCCTACGGGACCCAAAAATCCCCTCCAGGACCCCCCAATTCACCTTCCGAGACCCCCAAATCCCCCTACGGGACCCAAAAATCCCCTCCAGGACCCCCCAATTCACCTTCCGAGACCCCCAAATCCCCCTACGGGACCCAAAAATCCCCTCCAGGACCCCCCAATTCACCTTCCGAGACCCCCAAATCCCCCTACGGGACCCAAAAATCCCCTCCAGGACCCCCCAATTCACCTTCCGAGACCCCCAAATCCCCCTACGGGACCCAAAAATCCCCTCCAGGACCCCCCAATTCACCTTCCGAGACCCCCAAATCCCCCTACGGGACCCAAAAATCCCCTCCAGGACCCCCCAATTCACCTTCCGAGACCCCCAAATCCCCCTACGGGACCCAAAAATCCCCTCCAGGACCCCCCAATTCACCTTCCGAGACCCCCAAATCCCCCTACGGGACCCAAAAATCCCCTCCAGGACCCCCCAATTCACCTTCCGAGACCCCCAAATCCCCCTACGGGACCCAAAAATCCCCTCCAGGACCCCCCAATTCACCTTCCGAGACCCCCAAATCCCCCTACGGGACCCAAAAATCCCCTCCAGGACCCCCCAATTCACCTTCCGAGACCCCCAAATCCCCCTACGGGACCCAAAAATCCCCTCCAGGACCCCCCAATTCACCTTCCGAGACCCCCAAATCCCCCTACGGGACCCAAAAATCCCCTCCAGGACCCCCCAATTCACCTTCCGAGACCCCCAAATCCCCCTACGGGACCCAAAAATCCCCTCCAGGACCCCCCAATTCACCTTCCGAGACCCCCAAATCCCCCTACGGGACCCAAAAATCCCCTCCAGGACCCCCCAATTCACCTTCCGAGACCCCCAAATCCCCCTACGGGACCCAAAAATCCCCTCCAGGACCCCCCAATTCACCTTCCGAGACCCCCAAATCCCCCTACGGGACCCAAAAATCCCCTCCAGGACCCCCCAATTCACCTTCCGAGACCCCCAAATCCCCCTACGGGACCCAAAAATCCCCTCCAGGACCCCCCAAATCCCCTCCTGACCCCAAATTTCCCGTCCCGGTCCCCCCCAATCCCCCCCGGTCCCCCGAATTCCCCCTCCCGGTCCCCCCAATTCACCTCCTCGTCCGTCTTTTGCTTCTTGGCCACCACTCCCGTTTTCAGGGCCAGTTTGTTGCCCCCCCGCCGCCGCCCCACCTGGGGAAGGGACACACCTGCCCCGTTACCGGGAGCGGCCCCGCCGTGACCCCCGGGGGGCTCCGGGATCCGCCCCGAGCTCCCCGGTACCGGCCCGGGAGGGAAAAGAACCGGGGAGAGGAAGCGCGGAGGCCCCGGGACCGGCGAGTCCGGCAGCGGCACCGCACTCGGAGGCGCCGCCGCCACCGAGGAGCTCCGGGAAAGGCCCCGGGAGCCACCGGGAGCCACCGGGAGCGGCCCCGGGAGCGGCCCCGGCCGTTCCCCCCTCACGCGTTCGGGCCGGGCCGGCGGGAGCGGAGCCGGGAGGAGCCCGCGGGCCGCCGCGTCCTTACGAAGCTGAGAGCGCCGCCGCTCCTCTTCGCGCCCTCGGCACCGCGCTGCGGGCCGAGCCCGGTGCCGCCGCCGCCGCCGCCGCCGCCGGACGCCTCCGCGGCCGCCGCCGCCTCGCGCTCCCGCTGCTGCTCCTCCGCCTCCATCTTGCGCTTGAAGAGCTCCAGGAAGCTGCCGTCGTTGGCGAACACGTTGACGCCGCCGCCCGGGCCCGGGGGGGGCGGCGAAGGCGCCTCCGGGGCCTCCCGGTCCTCACCGCGCGCCGCCATCTTGTCCGCCGCCACCGCCGCCGGCGCCGCCCGATGACGTCAGAGCGACCGCCGCGGCGGCGGCGGCGCGGTTTTGTTACGTCAGCGAGATCCCCCCCCCGCTGGCGGGGCGGCGTTGCCTGGCAACGCGCGGGGCTCCCGCCGCTTCGCCCCGCCCCCGGCGAGGATTGACGGGTGAATTCACCAATGGGAAGCGAAAGAAGGGAGGGCGCGGCTGCCCGCGGACCAATCCGCGCGCGGCGGGCGGCGGCGCGGGGAAGATGGCGGCGGCAGCGGCGGCGGCGGCGGGCGGGTGGGCGGCCGAGGCCCCCGAGGAGTTCGAGGACGCGCCGGACGTGGAGCCGCTGGAACCGACGCTGGCGAACATCATCGAGCAGCGCAGCCTCAAGTGGATCTTCGTGGGCGGCAAGGGCGGCGTGGGCAAGACCACGTGCAGGTGCGGCGGGGGACGGGACGGGGCGCGGGGGTACCGGGATGAGGGGGGAGCGGGGTGAGGGGGGCGGCCGGGATAACGGGGAGCGGTCGGGATAACCGCGAGCGGTCAGGATAACGAGGAGCGATGGGGATGAGGCGGAGAACAGAGCGGGGGCTCCGTGGAGGAGGAACCGGGGATGAACCGGGGGGTACCGGGCTCGGTGATACCGGGCCGGGATGGCGGATCCGCTGTGGCGGCCACAGCAGAGCCCTCATGGAGGGGAACCGGAGCCCACCGGGGACACACGGAGGGGACAGCCCGGCTCCTCACACCCTCCCGGTGTGGCCGGGCTGGTACCGGCTCCGGGAAGGGATCACCGGGGGATCACCGGGCCCGGGAAGGGATCACCGGGCCCGGGAAGGGATCACCGGGGGATCACCGGGCCCGGGAAGGGATCGCCGGGTTCGGGAAGGGATCACCAGGCCCGGGAAGGGATCACCGGGCCCGGGAGGGGATCACCGGGGGATCACCGGCTCCGGGAAGGGATCGCCGGGCTCGGGAAGGGATCACCAGGCCCGGGAAGGGATCACCGGCTCCGGGAAGGGATCACCGGCTCCGGGAAGGGATCGCCGGGCTCGGGAAGGGATCACCAGGCCCGGGAGGGGATCACCGGGGGATCACCGAGCCCGGGAAGGGATCACCGAGCCCGGGAAGGGATCACCGGCTCCGGGAAGGGATCGCCGGCTCCGGGAAGGGATCCCCGGGCCCAGGAAGGGATCAACGCGGGGTCACCGGCTCCGGGAAGGGCTCACCGGCTCCGGGAAGGGATCCCCAGGCCCGGGAAGGGCTCACCGGCTCCGGGAAGGGCTCACGGGCCCGGTACCGAGCCCGCTGAGCCCCCGCTCCCGTCCCCAGCTGCAGCCTGGCCGTGCAGCTGTCCCGGGTCCGCGAGAGCGTCCTGATCATCTCCACCGACCCCGCTCACAACATCTCGGACGCCTTCGACCAGAAATTCTCCAAGGTGCCCACCAAGGTCACCGGCTACGAGAACCTCTTCGCCATGGTGGGTACGGAACGGGGGTCCCGGGGGTCCCGGGGGGGTCCCAGGGCCGAGCTGAGCCCCCTCCCCACCGTTCCCCACAGGAGATCGACCCCAGCAGGGAATGAGGGTCCTGGGGGGCTCCCGGGGGTCCTGGGGGGCCGCACTGAGCCCCCTCCCCACCGTTCCCCACAGGAGATCGACCCCAGCAGGGAACGAGGGTCCCGGGGGTCCCAGGGGTCCCAGGGCCACACTGAGCCCCCTCCCCACCATTCCCCGCAGGAGATCGACCCCAGCAGGGAATGGGGGTCCTGGGGGGGTCCTGGGGGTCCCAGGGCCAAGCTGAGCCCCCTCGGGGGTCCTGGGGGGCCGCACTGAGCCCCCTCCCCACTGTTCCCTGCAGGAGATCGACCCCAGCGGGGAACAGGGGTCCTGGGGGTCCTGGGGGGCTCCCAGGGGTCCCAGGGCCACACTGAGCCCCCTCCCCACCATTCCCCACAGGAGATCGACCCCAGCAGGAAACGGGGGTCCCAGGGGTCCCAGGGCCGAGCTGAGCCCCCTCCCCACCGTTCCCCGCAGGAGATCGACCCCAGCAGGGAATGGGGGTCCTGGGGGGGTCCTGGGGGTCCCAGGGCCAAGCTGAGCCCCCTCGGGGGTCCTGGGGGGCCGCACTGAGCCCCCTCCCCACTGTTCCCTGCAGGAGATCGACCCCAGCGGGGAACAGGGGTCCTGGGGGTCCTGGGGGGCTCCCAGGGGTCCCAGGGCCACACTGAGCCCCCTCCCCACCATTCCCCACAGGAGATCGACCCCAGCAGGAAACGGGGGTCCCAGGGGTCCCAGGGCCGAGCTGAGCCCCCTCCCCACCGTTCCCCGCAGGAGATCGACCCCAGCAGGGAATGGGGGTCCTGGGGGGGTCCTGGGGGTCCCAGGGCCAAGCTGAGCCCCCTCGGGGGTCCTGGGGGGCCGCACTGAGCCCCCTCCCCACTGTTCCCTGCAGGAGATCGACCCCAGCGGGGAACAGGGGTCCTGGGGGTCCTGGGGGGCTCCCAGGGGTCCCAGGGCCACACTGAGCCCCCTCCCCACTGTTCCCTGCAGGAGATCGACCCCAGCGGGGAACAGGGGTCCTGGGGGTCCTGGGGGGCTCCCAGGGGTCCCAGGGCCACACTGAGCCCCCTCCCCACTGTTCCCTGCAGGAGATCGACCCCAGCGGGGAACAGGGGTCCTGGGGGTCCTGGGGGGCTCCCAGGGGTCCCAGGGCCACACTGAGCCCCCTCCCCACCATTCCCCACAGGAGATCGACCCCAGCAGGAAACGGGGGTCCCAGGGGTCCCAGGGCCGAGCTGAGCCCCCTCCCCACCGTTCCCCGCAGGAGATCGACCCCAGCAGGGAATGAGGGTCCCAGGGGGGTCCTGGGGGTCCCAGGGCCACACCGAGCCCCCTCCCCACCGTTCCCCGCAGGAGATCGACCCCCGCAGGGA